AGACAGGAAAAACAGACTATTGACTCTCTAACCCAATATCTCCAGCAAATTGAAAAAGAACAGCAAGAAAACCCGACACCCTTTAAAAAAACTGAAATGATAGTAAAGGATTCTATGACCAAAATACTGAACAAAGTTGTTAGGTGCAGTAAGTCAAGTACCACTTATGGCAATAATATGAAAAATAGACCTGAATCCTCTCCTATCCTGTACCATCCTCATCGTCTCTAATCCACTTGTGCTCATTGCTACAATCACTATGTCAGTTCATCTGACTGAGGTTCTTCCTCTCTTTCACCAACCCTGCACCTTTCCCAATATGATACCCCTCTCCTAGCAACATGTCCTAAGTATGAGCGACAAGAAGACACATCTGTTTCTTTTGACAATCCATGGGATATTCAACGTCTTCTACAACGTCACAGATGAAAGGCATTAATTTTTCTGTTCCCTTATTCATTGTCCAGTTCTCAGATAGGTACCAAGTAACTGAAAACAATATGGCCTAAATCAGGTACACTCTAGTCTTCAAACTGACATTATTGCTCTTCAGTATTTTGGAGACGTCATTGGCAGTGGTCTTGCCCAAAGCACAACTTCTCATGATCTCCTGACTGCTGGTACCAAGGTGTTGATTGTGGATCTATTTAAGATGAAGTCATTGACAGTTTCAGTCTTTTTTCCATCTAGCAAGATGTTGGTGGCCCTGTGGTAACGACCTTTGTTTTCTTGATGTTGAGATGTCATTCATTTTCAAGGCTTGTAATACTTAATCTTCTGCAGTAAATGTTGCAGGTCTTCCTCACTTTGAACAAGCAAAGGTGTGTCATCTGCATAATAGATTGTTGGTGAGTTTTTGCTCTGATCCTGATGCCACCATTCTTCTTCATAGAGCTAGCTTCATGGCTAATTTGCTCAGCATACAGACTAAATAGGTATGGAGAAAGGCTACAACCCTGATGCACAACCTTCCTGATTTTAAACCATGCAGTGTTCCCTTGCTCAGTTCATAAGGCAGCTTCTTGGTGTAAGTATTAATTTCACATGAACACAATTAAGCATTCTGGGATTCCCATTCTTGTCAATGTTAGCCATAATTTGTTATAATCCACTCAGTCAAAACGATTTGCATTATCAATAAAAAAAGATAGACATTCTTCTGGTATTCTCTACTTTCAACCAGGATCCATCTGTTATCAGCAGTGATATCACTGGTGCCATGACCTCTCTTAAACACAGTTTGAACTTGTGGCAGTTCCCTGTGGGTGTAGTGTTCCAGCTATTTTTTTGTATCATCTTCAACAATTATGTTGCTTGCATATGGTATTTATTATACTGCTTGATTATTTCCACATTCTGTTGGATCACTTTTTTTAGGAATGGGAACAAATATGGATCTCTTCCAATAAGTCGGCCAGGCAGCTCCAAATTTCCTAGCATAGACTGGTGAGCATGTCCAGGGTTGCATTTGTTAGTTGAAACATATCAGTCAGTATCCTACCTATGCCTGGGGCCTTATTTTTTTGCAGATTCCTTCAAAGCAGCTCAAACTTTTTCCTTCACAACTTTTAGGTCTTGTTCATATACTTTGGAAATTTTTTAATAGTGACCAGTTCTTTTTTGGTGTAGTGATTTCTGTGTATTCCTTCCATTGTTTCAGTGCTTCCTGGATCACTCAGATTTTGCCCATGGCACCTCTAAGTATTGCATCTTGAAGCTTGGATTTGTTATGTAGAAGGAATATACAGTCACTGTATGAAGTAGAATTGAATAATACTAACCATTTTGAGAAGTACCATACGGTAATGATGGAAGAAGTTCAAACTGCACTGAATACATTAATAAAAAGAAGGCCTCAGGAATTGACTATAAATTGTGGATGGTATTGTGAAGAATAGGATTTCCAGAACACTTTATTGTGTTTCTATGAAACGTGTACATAGATTGAGAAGTAGTCATTTGAACATAATAAGGGAATATTACATGGTTTAAGAACAAGAGCTCTGTCTTTGAGGAAGTTCAACCAGGCTGCTCGTTAAAGGCAAAGATGGTGAGACTTTGTCTCACATACTGTGGGCATATTTTCAGGAGGCGTCAGTCCTTGGAGAATAACAGCATGCTTGATAAAGTAGTTGTGGGATATCACTGAGTTGTGTATGACTCCTAGCGACATTATGAACAACAGATTTGAATGTTGTCCTTTCCTGTGCAGTCATCATCTTTGACATACTTGAGCTGATTGCTGCAGTAACTGTGTCAATACATCTTGTTGAAGTCTTTCCCTCTTTCGCTGACCCTCCACCTTTCCAAGCATGATACCCCATTCCAAGGAATAGCCCTCTCCTAACAACATGCCCAAAATATGTAAGATGAAGATTCACCATGCTGGTCTGTAACGAGAACTCTGGCTGTACTTTGTCCAAGACATTTTGGCAGTTCATAGGATATTCAGTACTCTTATCCAACACAAAAATTCAGAGTCATTGATTCTTCTTCTGTCATCCTTATTCATTGTTCAGCTCTCAGATGCATAGCAAGTGATTGAAAACCCATAGCCTGAATCAAGTGCATTTTAGCCTTTAAACTGACATTGCTTCTCAGTATTTTGGAGAGGTCCATGACAGCAGACGTTCCCAGTGCAGTATGTCCCCTGATCTCCTGACTGCTGATACCAGTCGTGTTGATTGTGAACCCAATTAAAATGACATTGCTGATAATTTCAGTCTTTTCACCATCCATCACAGTATTGCCTGTAGGTACAATAGGGAGGATTTTTATCTTCTTGATGTTCAGTACTTCAGGAAGTACTGGAACTCCACTACCAAGTCATAGGCACTGGATTTGAATCTACTAGCTGCTCTGTGGGAGAAAGATGGGCAGTTTCCTCCTGTGCTGTTTACTGCCTCTGAAAACCCACTGGAGGGGTAGCTATGAGTCAGTTCTGACTCAAAGGTACATACAAGAACTACCACATGATGAAGAACCAATGATAAGGAAGGGGGGGGGGTAACTGAGCTGCACTTAAGGAATTTGTGAAGCTGGACTCTACGAAGAATGGCAGCATCAGGATCAGAGCGAAGAATCAACAACTTGTGTTATGCAGTTGACACAATCTTACTTGCGGAAAGTGAGCACCCTGGTGTTAAAGTTGACAGTCAAGAGAAGATCTTATGAGGAAATGGATTCACAGTGACTGCAACAATGGCTTGAGTATGGTGGAGAATGTGAGGATGACACCAAATAGGAAAAGGTTTAAATCTATGGTTTGTATGGTTACTATTATTCATAGTTGCCAAGAGCACTTAACAGCAGCATGCATGAACCTTGAAAACATCTTGCTGAGGCAAATAGTTATTCACTAAAGGATAATTACTGTCTTGTCTCATCTCACACAAAGTAAATTAATATTTAAACCCTAGATTGTTTATGGCTACAAAGGTAGGAAGGAGAAAGAAAGGGGGTAATTTTTGTTTGGAGACATTGAGTTTATTTTAATGATAATCTAATGGATTGAAGACTACAGCCTTCAATATGGATTACTTCTCTAAATCAAGAAAACAAATGTTCTTACCCCTGGCTCGGTAGGCAGCTGCATGACAAAGGGTGAAAGGATTGAAACTGTTGGTGATTTCATCCTACATGGATCCACAATCAACATCCTTGATACTAGCAGTCAGATCAGGAGAAGTATTGCTTTGGGCAAGCCCACTCTCAGGAACCTCTCCAAAATACTTAAGGGCAGTGATGTTATTTTGAAGACTAAGATATGCTTGCAGGCCATGGTCTTTTCAATCACTTACTGTACATCTGAGAGCTGGAGAAATGGTAAGGATGAAAGAAGAATTGATGGTTTTGAGTTGCTGTGTTGGAGAAGAGTACTGACTGTCCCCTGGACTGCCAAAAGAGACAAGTTGTGTCCTGGAGAAAGTGCAGCCAGAGTACTCCTTGGAGAAGAGGACGGCAAAGCTTTGTCTCTCATACTTTGTACATGTAGATTGAAGTACACTTGGATTGAAGTCCTTTGTGAAAGGACATTCTTGGAAAGACAGAGGGCAAGCCACAGAGGAAAAGCGATGAATTGACATGATGACTAAAGAATTTCGCTCAACATTTATCAGAGATGATGAGGATGATGGCACAGGATAGGAAAAGATTAATCTCTTTTGCCCATAGGGTCTCTATACTTTGTACTCAACTCGAAGGCACCTCACAACAACGTTTTGGATGAACATAGTAACGATGGTGACACTAAATTTTAAAATGTCACTGGGGTCACAGAGTTGTATATGTGTAAGTTGTGTTGAAGGTTACAATGTTACGTTTTCGACACAATAAAAATGTTTTCTGGCAAGCCAGTACCTATGGAATCACATGGGGACCTTAAGTGTTGCAGACTAGAGCTGCAAACCCAATTATGGAAGGAAGAATTAAAAAGTTCTCACCGGAAGGATTTGTGGGCTGACTGCCAGGTGTTTGGTTTCTCAAACTGTAAGGATTAGTATAGGAAAGATGAGCTGTGCACTACCTAGCGAGAAACTGGAAAAATTAAATGCCACATAAGACTTCGAACTGACAGCCTGTAATGCGGACTAGTGGCCCGCCTGACCCAGGCTACCAGGTGGCCCCTTAAGGCTTCTTAGCGCTGCGGTCTAATTGCTTCCGGGTCGCGGGAGACGTCGCTTCCGGAGCAGCATGGCGGCCACGGAGAACGAGCAGTCAGCGGGCAACAGTGAAGGAGAGCGCCTGGATTTCCTGAGAGATCGGCATGTGCGGTTCTTCCAGCGCTGCCTCCAGATGTTGCCGGAGCGCTATTCTTCTCTGGAGACCAGCAGGTAACGTGTGGCCAGGGCCCCAGCGGAATAAAGGCTAGCCGGGCGCCCGCAGTGAGCTGCGCCTCCGCCCTCCCGCCACTGACCCAGCATCTCCCACCCCCGGCCGGCCTGCGGTGACCCTCAGCGGCCCCAACCCCCACTGCCCGAGGTACGATGGGCGAGTTTGGAATCTCCAGTTGCCACCCTTTCCTTGTTTAGCCCATTTTTCCTGTTAACCTGAGCCTTCTTTTTTATCTTCTAAAACCTGTGAGTCACCACTCTGAATATCCGAGAGTTCTTTTGCCTCAGTATTTTCAAGCAAGAAAGAACATCCTAAGGGTTTCTCGTCGGTTTTAGAGAAAATAAGCCTTTTCTGTGCTTCTCTTCCGTTCCCCAAAATAATTTCTTATTAATTATATGGTGTTTAATGTGTTAGGATTAGCAGAGCGCCTCTAAAGTTTTAAAAGAAATTAACTTTCCAGGAATTATAAATTAACTGTAAAAGACTAGCAAAAGAAAATGTATAATTTTATGAATCTGTAGTCTTGGTAGAGTTGGAGCAGCCTGTGAGTGTGGTTTGGCAAGGGCCAAGCAACGGGATTGGCCATTCAGAGAACAAATTACGGATGACAAGAACGAAAAAAAAAGCGACAGTCTTAGATCCCGATTGCTGTGTTGCTCATTTTACCCTGCTATGTTTAAACTGTTAGCTTCTGGCTATATTTTAACAGTGTGTGCCTGGATTGAGTGTGGAAACTTAATGAATTAATTCTCTGTACAACGATCAAGACATTTTTTGTTGGACGGGATGTCATTGCTGCTAGAGTGCAGCTGAACAAGAAAAAGCTTTTCAGTAATACTGTGCTATAATAGGATCTCTAGTGTCTTAGTCTGTAAGGAATTGTGCTGCTAACCCGAAAGAGTGTCTCTCAGGCGGCAATGAATCCTCCAGATGCTCAGAGGGAAAAAGCTGGGTAAACACCTCCTGTAATACATTGTTGTTGTTAGGTGCCATTGAGTCCAGTACGACTCAGCGACACTATGAACAGAATATCTGAAACCAGTCCTGTCCTGAGCCATCCTCAAACTTCCTGACACACAAGAGCCCATTGCAGCAGTCACCATGTCAGTCCACCTAGTTGAAGGTCTTCCTCTCCTTTGCCAACCCTCCACCCTTCCCAACATTATGTCTGCAGATTTACCTGTTGCAATGCATCTACTTATTTCCTGACTGCTGGTAGTAAGGGTGTTAATTGTAGATCCAACTAAGATGAAGCTGTTGACAGTTTGAATTTCCTCTCCATCCATCTTGACACGGCCTATTGGTCCAGTGGTAAGAATCTTTGTTTTCTTGATATTGAAATGCAATCCATACTGAAGGCTGCCTTCCTTGATCTTCTGCAACAAGTGCTTCAAATCCTTCTCACTTTCAGCAAGCAAGGTTGTGTCATCTGCATAACACAGGTTACTGATGAATCTCCCTCCAATCCTGATGCCACACTCCTCTTCACAGAGTCCAGCTTCTAAGATAATTTGCTCAGCGTATAGATTAAACAGGTATGGAGACAGAATACATCCCTGACACACTCCCTTGCCAGTTCCAAACCATGCAGTACTCTCCTGCTCCATTCACACAGCAGCCTCCTGGTCCAGGTATAGGTTCCTCATGAGCACAGTCAAATGCTCTGGGATTCCCATTCTTCTCAGTGACAGCCACAACTTGTCATGATCCACACAGTCAAATGCCTTTGCACAAATAGACATTCTTCTGGTGTTCCTTACTTTTAGCCGGGATCCAACTGACATCAGCAATGATATCCCTGGTGCTATGGCCTCTTCTAAAACCTGCTTGAACTTCTGGCAGTTTCTTATCTATGTACTATTCCAACCATTTTTTAATGATCTCTCCTACAACCTCTGGAAGGTCAGTCAGGTCTGACCCCTCGGTAATGACTTTGACTATGACACTATCTTTTAGTATAACTTCTGTGGGATTATATAGGGAGGCAGGCATCTAATCCAAATTTCTTTAGAGGCCCCAAAAATCAAACCCACTGGTGCTGAAGTAATTTGTATAGGGTTGCATGAGGAAATTGACTGATCCTACCAACTCAGAAGGATTGGTGGATTGAAACTGTTCACCTTTGGTTTTGCAACTCAGTGTCTAACCCACATTACTAGCAGGGTACCTTCTATTTTGAGGCGCTTTTCTACAACAAGATACAGTCAAGTCACCAAATGAAACTAAGTATTTATTTTCTTCCACACTTCGTTATAAACTTAATGAAGGCAAGATATTTGTCTTGTTCACCTCTGTAAGGCTAGCACAGCTGTGTTTAGCTGTCTTTCTGGACTTGAACCACATGCCTTTGGGTTGACAGTGCAACTCCTTACTATTAGGCAATCAGAGTTTCCTAGATGACAGCCACTAGCCCCATTTTACTACTGTAGTTTAAAATTAAATGAAAATTTAAAGTCTATTCCTCGTCTTAGACTAGTCAAATTTCAAGTGCTTAGACATGACATTGGCCAGTTCTGTAGGGTAAAGTTCAGATCTGCTGTTCATAAGGTTGCCATGAGTTATAGTCGACTTGATGGTAACATCCAGCAGTGTTTTCCTTATATTGTACACAAAATGACTAATTGAAGCTGACTTGATTGCACCCAATACTACCACTCCATCTTTTATTAGAACATAGTAGAGATAAAGTGGTACACTAGAGTCTTGATCCATGTCATAAATACTTAGGTACTAATATTTGTTGAATGACTATGAGCTGAGCCTTTAAGAAAGAATATATTCTTGGAAAAACATGAATGAAATACTGTTTATATTCCTTTCTTCATTGATACTAACCAACTAGCAGAACTCCTCCAAACCAGTTTCACTGCTTTCATATTGATTCCAGCTCAAAATGATGAGCCTCTGTCAAGTTTCTGAGGCTGTAAATCTTTAAGGAAGGAAACAGATGATATTGCTTCCTTAGAGCCTCTTGTGGATTTGAACTCACTGAAGGGTCAGCCGCTAGGTATGCAGTATGCTGTCAGGGCTCCTTAGCAGAACTCACACCTAAATCCAAATGAAGATTTCCAAAATCTAGCTGATTGTAGTGATATGGGATGAAAACAAATATTTTGATAAATAACATTTGGAGAGTTAGGGATATTCTGTTTATGAGAATTCTAAGTATTTTGATAAAAGGCTGAATCAGGTGAACCTTAGTCTCTAGACTGACATCGTTGCTCTTCAGGACTTTAGGTCTCTGACAGCACACTTTCCTAATGCAGTTTGTCTTTTCATTTCCTGGCTGCTGGTACCAAGAGTGTTGATTGTGGAGCCAAGCAAACAAAAGCTGTTAATAACCTCAATCTCTTCACCGTCTATCATGATGCTGCCCAGTGATCGGCCCAGTGATGAGAATCTTTATTTTCTTGATGTTGAGCTTCAATCCATATTTAAGGCTGCAGTCCTTGACCTTCTACAGCAAGCGCTTTAGGTCCTCCTCAGTTTTAGCAAGGAGAGTTGTGTCATCTGCATAACGCACATTGTTGTTCTTCCTCCAGTCCTGAAGCCACATTTCTCCTCATGGAGCCCAGCCTCCCGGATAATCTGTTTTGCATATAGATTGAAACGATATAGAGATAGGACACGTACCCTTTCCAATTTTGAACCATGCAGTTTTTGCTCTGTTCTGACAGCTACCTCCTGGTCCAAGTGTAGGTTTTGCATAAGCACAATCAAGTGTTCTAGAAATTCCCATTCTTCTCAGAGTCAGCCACAGTTTTTTGTGATCCACACCATCAAATGCCTTTGCATAGTCAATGAAACACAGATATTTCTCTGGTACTCTCTGCTTTCAGCAAAGATCATCTAACATTAGCTGTAATATTCTATTTTTTTATAATGTTTTAAATTTTATTTTTTTGCCACCTGATTCACATAGTCTGTACTTTTCCTTATTTTAGCATCAAGTTCTTTCATGGTGTGTATAATTCATAATGGACTTTTAAGATGCTGTGAAGTGCCTTAATGTTTTAAGCAAAGGTCTCAAAATGTCTACTGATGCTATAGTTTCAAGATAAAACAATGCTTTTCCCAAATCACATTCTCTACCCAGTATTGTAATTCATCTGCTTCAGTGTTAAAGTGATTTGAGTATTCATTCCTGTATTTGTTTCAGCTCTGGTAGAAATGAAACAGCTGACTCTCAGCTAGTGAATTCTCAGGAAGACTGATATTGAACTGAACATTCAGACACATTTTCTTCTCTTATTCTGACAAAAAAGAAATGAGTAAGAAAATTGGTAATTTAACTTTTTCGAATGATTAAAATAAAGGTACATGTTATATGAGTGTTATCTTAGTTCTTCTGTTAACTTCTGAAAAGTGGGAAAACTAACCCCTTATTGGTTTAGTGAGTATCAAGGGTAGTGTTATGAACTTTATTACCAGTATATTTTTTTGTTTTCACGAGTGGTTTGGAGAGTTTTGAGATTCTTATGGTGATATTGTTGTATTTTTTGGGTAATCCTACTCATACTCATTGCCATCACATCGGAACCAATGCATAGCCAACCTTCAGGCAGGTTTTTGAAAGCTGTAAATTGCACAAAAGATTGACCATCTTTTTTGGAGCTACTGGTGCATTGGAACTGCCAGAGCAGTGCCAGCAGTGGGTTATGCCACCAGAGCTACTGTCCCATGTTTGGGTAGTAGGAATTAAAATTTGTTTTTTGTTGAAGAACACATTACTGACCATTTTCCATAATTTTATTCCTTCAAGTGGCAAATGTCACTGTTTAGGCAATTAGCCCATGTTTTATATAGCATTCATAATCTACTTAGTCTTTCCATTTACAAGTTTCCTTTTCCCTCTGTGATATAACTGATTTACTGCCTGCCCAGCTAAAAAATTTCCTAAGTAAAAAGCTAGGAGAGCAGACAGATTCACAGTCATGTAGTGTTTAACATTAGTTTATATGATTTGGGATATTACTCAAATACCATACAGTACATTAAA